AGCCATTTATATGTTTGAACTCAATCTTCCCAACAGCCCTATGACGTATGTACTATTATAAATGGGGAGGTTTAGGGCTTATTCCAATTATTACAAAGATGTTAAAGGGCAGACCTGAGATTTGAATGAAAACAGTCTGGCTTCAGGGCCAAGATTTTCACAATTATGCTATGTGCCATGCTTTGTGCTAATAACTTTACAAACATTCTATCTAATTTACTCTTTGCCATGTGATACATAAAATCATTCCTAATGTACAGATATCCTTTCTGAGTTTCCTTTAAGAGACTTTCTCTAAACTCACGTGATATTTAACCCAGGCCTGCCTGAAGCCTGTGCATTTCTCACTTTTATTTTCCTTCAGTGTGATATCTTTGAAATCAATCAATGTCTTTCCTCCAAAATCAAATAGCTTTTAGAAGCAATAACTAATACCAGTCATGTGTCTCCCTTGCTTTGCTAGGATATATAAGAACTGACCCTTGCTTACATAGAGTCTAAGTGAGGATTGGTCACAATAGTTCTGCAGTAGGCAGTAGCTTCCCCCTGTGTCATCATTTTTCTTCTATTTTTTAAAATATATTTTTATTGATTTTAGGGAGGAAGGGAGAGAGAGACAGAGAGAGGGAGAGGGAGAGAGAGAGTTTTTTTTGAGAGAGAGAGAGAGAGAGAGAGAGAGAGAGAGAAAGAAAGAAAGAAAGAAAGAAAGAAAGAAAGAAAGAAAGAGGGAAACATCAATGATGAGAGAGAATCATTGATCGGCTGCCTACTACATGCCCCCTACTGGGGATCAAGCCTGCAACCCGGGCATGTGCAGTTGACCAGAATCGAACTGGGACCCTTCAGTCCGCAGGCTTACCCTCTATCCAGTGAGCCAAACCAGCCAGGGCTCATCAATTTTCTTGACTGCCACTCATAGAAAGAAAGATATTTTTTATCACAAGCCGGTAGCTACACACACAGTGACACATATTGTATTCACAAGAACCAAAATTTCATAAATAATGTGTAGCCTTGCATGTTCATAGCATTTATTCTATGTTATTCAACCTATTTTATTTCTTCAAAAAAAACAGCCAAACTGATTTCACAACCCATTAGTGGGTGGTGAGCATCAATTTGAAAATCATTGCATTGGAGAATATTCTAGGTCTCTTTCAGTGCTTAGACTCGGGTTAACCTCAAGATGTGATTTATCTGAACTTATTTGGTAACCATGCTAATTTCTAAAAATAGAGCCGAGGGAATGTGTCACAGACCCACCTGACACTTTTGTGTTAACCTTGCTTTTCTCTTTCCCTTCTTTATTTATTCATTTATTACTTTCCTACAGCTATTTGTAAAGCATACACTTCAGACAGTGTACAAGCACTGAGAAGTCGAGGATGAGTAAAAGCAGGCATGCATTCTGATAGCACAGTGAGAATGAAAACAGTTCGCCCAATCGCACACAGGAAAATATTTTCCAATCGCCGTAAATTCTGTGAACAAGAATCCGGCATCACATAAAACAGGGAGCTAGGATTTAACATGGACCATGGGAAAAGTCTCTGTGGGACGTGGCATTGGGGCTGAGACTGGAGAGCAAATAGAAAACAAGCAGGCAGTGGACAGCATGGATCACACCATGTCACAAGCTTCTAGGACTAGAGGAAGGCATGGACTCCTAGTGGAGGAATGAGAGGAAAAGATCTGAAAGAGAAGTCTAGAAAAGTAAACAGGGCCAGATTGCACAGAAAGCATGTCAAACTCAAAGGCTAACAAGGGCCAAATAAACGAGGCATGCGACCCGTGGGCCGCGAGTTTGACATGCTTTGTCGTACAGGGTCCTGTAGACCATGGAAAGAGATGAACGGTTTTTACAAGCCTGGATAACATAAGACTCACATTTTTTAACATGTAACTGTGCTGTGTAGAATGGATTGGAGATTCGTACAGGGTCCTGTAGACCATGGAAAGAGATGAACGGCTTTTACAAGCCTGGATAACATAAGACTCACATTTTTAACATGGAACTGTGCTGTGTAGAATGGATTGGAGATGTTTGAGGTTATGCAGAGAGAGCTCCAAATAGCCTAGCACAATGGTCTGAGTCAAACATGGTAGACTAGGGTGCGTTAGGGTGGTGGTCTTTTATTACTTATTTCCTCTTACTGAGCATGTTTTGCAATGCCTTTCAGGTGCACTGGGACCAGACTTGTTAATTTTGGAGCTGTCAACTAAGAAATAAATAAGCCGCGATGTAGCATACAAAAAAAAAAAGTTGTGGAAATGCAACAGTGAGTCCAGGTGCTAAGTGGCCAAAATACAAAAAACAAAACAAAACAAAACAAAAAACTCTTACTCTTTTCTTAAAAAAAAAAAAGATAATGATCTGAACTTGCATATTCCAGTTATCACCGAAATGTACTATTTTACTAGGTACAGTTCTAGAAAATGAAATACTTAAACTCCCTCTGAGAGTTTAAGATCTGAGATAGAGAGCTTCAGATCTGATGTGCTGGAGGAGAAAGATGATTTTTAACAGCCAAACCTGGCCCCATGATTAAATGAATTTATATTCAGACTGGGCAAAGGAAGCATGTTGCCTCTTGCCTTGACTTCTTTTTCTTTGATTAATAATTCCCTGCATGGCTGAACATTGTTGTTATCTTGCCATGATGGGCACCTTTTTCAGTGTGTTCTTAGAATAAAAATAGCTTAACCCAAGTCCCTATAAAAAAAAAGTTTGCTCCTTCAGGGTGAGTTTAATAAAACCACTGTCCCCATTCGAGTTGAGTGGAGTCATGGGAGAGAGTCCTCTGTCTGTCACTAATTTCTGCACCTGCCTGACTCCAGTGGCGAGCTGAAGGCAGTCACAGCCGCTCTGAATCCCACCCCTGTCTGCGTAGGTTGTTTCCATTGGCATCTAGATCCGTTTGTAGTTGACACTCTTTCTCCCTTCTTTTGGTACTCAGTTCTCACCCACCTACCCTCTCTACCCCATTCATTGGCCATCCCAAAAGACTTTCTCACATCCTGAGCAATCATTGTTTCTGTTATGTTAGCCGAGAGGAGCCTAAGGTACAACAGGTCCCAGGCATGGTTGCATACTAATTACCGTTGCTTACTGAAAGAACTGTACAACACAACAAACAATTTTTAGTGGTGCAGTTGGAAAGATTGTGAACCAAAGAGCTCAGGTACAGGCACCTTTCCTGGTGCCCGTAAAACCTATGGCAGGGACGACCAGCCAGTCATTGCACCGAGGTGAAGAATGTCATTTCCTAACAGGCAATACCAAAGATGTGTTTCTCGGATTTTTACAAAGCACTTCCTGTGCTTCTGTCTAAATTGCCCCCGTGAGCTTAATTTCCAACATCTTCTGTGTGACTCAGTCTTCCGTGGTAAACACGATTTTATCTATTGAACAAGTAAACATCAGGGCAGTTACTCCTCATTAGAATCGTAATGCCTGAGATTAATGCTGCATGGAATTTCTCTTTTTTCTTTTGTTTTCAAGTCTTTCCTTATCCTTTAGCACAGTGATCATTATAAAGAACAAAATGTACTAAGTACAGTTCACCCATCATTGATATTCTACATTTGCTTCCTAAGCAGAGAATTGGTCACAAGGAATTGGTTTGCATCCCCGGACACTGCTTGCAGGCACTTAATTCTTGGATTCAAATACAACTTGAACGTGTGATTTCAGTGACATTATGTCAAAAGAAACATGTCAAAACAGTGTTGATACAAAGAGCTCTATGGTGATGCGAAGTCATTGAGGGAAACAAAACCAATCAAAGCAGCAGGAAAGCATTTTTTTTAAAAAAAACAGGGAGTTCTTTGCAAACAGCAGAGGCCAGATCTACTCTCCTGTGGCTCATTTCCTCTTCCCATCCCTCTACCCGTTCTGCTCCACCAAGTGTGAAGTCTGCATCTGATCATTCATCCTACCTAAAACCCTTCAGTGTCTCCCCAGCATCTATCGATTCTGAATGAGCTCCCGTCCTGGGATCTACCCTCTGCCTTCCTCTCCAGGCTCAAGCTTCCCCACCCTCCCTGTGATTCCAGAAAACCCAAACTGTTTCCTTTCCCCACACACACTCTGTTTTCTCCCAGGTCTGTGCTTAGTATGTGCTACTTTTCTCTTTCGAATAGGACTTTTGGACCTGGAGAACTCTTCAGATCAACCATTTATTGGGTGCTTGATTTTTGTGCATTACTTGAACTTCAGTGAGCCTTGATTTCCTCATTTGTAAAATTGGGAGCATAAAAGCAGCATTCTGGGACTGATAGGTGTAATACTGTTGGATGTTTCTGAGTCTACCCCAGCGGAGAAGTTGCTCAGTAGAAATGTCAGTGATATTAGCTTTATTCCTTAGTTATTTTTCTTGTCACCATCCTTTAGAATTTAGCTCAGGTTTTACCTCTGGTCAGAAGCTTTCCCTCACCTCCTCTTCCCAAACCCTAGGTAAATCACTTCCTTGTACTGGGCACTTTCTTCTTTATTGCCCCTTTTAAATTCTTTTCCTGTCATTAGTGTTGGTACATGCTTTTTCATAGTGTTGCTGGGCAATGAAGTTGTTGGCGTGGGAAAATGGGCACCAGAATGCTTCAAGGAGGCCTTCTAATCCACATTTTATGGACCTCTTAAACAGTGTGGTTAGGATATGATCGTTAATGATAAGCGAATAAATGGGGTTTTCGTTATTTCCTTGGCTTTATAGCTTCGTAAGCTAACAGTTAATGAATGCCTACTATATTCCAGGCATGATTCAGCTATTATCCTTTATTTTTTACTATGTTCAAATGTGGTAGATATTCTTATTATTCCCATCTTATACAAGTGGAAACTGGGGGCCCAGAGCCATGGAGCGAGTGATAAATCATCTCCTCCCAAAGCCTGACCTCTTAGCTCAACCACGCGCTGCTCGGATCTGTAGGGTGTCTTCACCTCTGGGACTCTTTCGTGTGTAACTGTATCAGACACATTTTCCTTTCCGACTCGATCCCAGGTACTCCTTCCAAGATGAGGAAGACATGTTCATGGTGGTGGACCTCCTGCTGGGCGGGGACCTACGGTATCACCTACAGCAGAACGTCCGTTTCCAGGAAGACACCGTGAAGCTCTTCATCTGTGAGCTGGCCATGGCCCTGGACTACCTGCAGAGCCAGCGCATCATTCACAGGTCAGTCAAGTCCAAGGGGACGGCCGTGGACTGAGTGCACAGGAGAGAATTCAGTACCTGCTGCGTTCAACGGGTCCTTGTTGAACATGTCATTTAACCCTCACCTAATTCTTACATCCATTCCTTGAGGTAGGTTTTTAGCCTTATTTTGAAGATTAAAAAAACAAGACAACTAAGCACGTTGTGCCCAAGGCCAGAACCAATGAATATTGGTGCTATCTTATAACTAAGCTTAGAAGAAGAGGAGAAAGATGATGTACAGGAACTTACTAAATAATAAATGAATTAATTGAAATAGTGATAAAGAAGTTCATAGGAAGGAAAGTCTCTGGGGAGAGCATTTGAGTCCTAACTACCTGTCAGCAGTGAAACTACTTGTTTCACTCACTTGGTACATTTGTGTTAAATAAAGACAAATACAGTTGAGCCTTGAACAAGAGGGGGAGGGTTTAGGGATGCTGACCCCCATCAATGAAAACCTGCATATCACTTTTGACTCCCCCAAAAGTTAACAACAGTGGTCCTTCAGTATCCTCAGTATCCTGGGGGGCGGGGGTTGTTTCCAAGACCATCCTCAGATACCAAAATTCACAGATGCTCAAGTCCCTTAAATAAAATGGCCTGCTCTCTGCATCTGAGAATTCCCAACTGTAGATAGAAAATACTGTTTTTGATCCATGGTTGGTTAAATCTGCAGATGCCAGACCCTGCAGCTGACTGTGTATTTATGGGGGGAATCAACATATAAATGGACCCATACAGTTCAAACCTGTGTTGTTTAAGGGTGAACTGTAACAAGGCAGCTATAAACCCAAGGAGACAATAGAGGGGAAAGATAATACTTTACATTTATAAAGAAATTGGTAGTTTTAATGATGATTTCCTATGTGACATATCACCTGATTGCTGTAATAATTTGTGATAAGTGAACAGAGCAGATACAGTTAGATCAGTCTAAATACGAGAAAACCATGATGAGGAGACATTAACTTTTTACCTAGGTTACTGGTGAGAATTTTGAACCCAATAACTATCAAAGCAACTACTATTTCCTGATGACATCCCAGGCACTGCTAAGTACTTTCACGTGGTATCTTATTAAATTCTCAGAACTAAAGGCAGAATCCTCATCTACACCAATAAAAGAAAGATGCAAAATGACCGTACCTTCGCGATGCCCACCAGCCAATCAGGAGTGAGTATGCAAATTAACCCAACAAAGATGGTGGGTTAATTTGCATATGCAGGCACAGGTGTTCCACCCCACCTCAGCTGCTCCGGGCCTCTGGGCAGCGTGGGAAGGCAGAAAGGTGACTCTGGCCAGAGCGAAGGCATTGCTGGCAGCCAGGGGAAGGAAGGCCCATTCTTGCACAAATCTTCATGCATCGGGCCTCTAGTGTTATTATAATATCCCCATTACACAGATGAGAAAACCATGGCTCAAAGATTTGCCAAGGACAAACAGATGACAAATGGCATTGCCAGGACTTAAATTTAGGCTTATTGATCCCAGAGGTAGAGTTCTGTCTGCTACCTCAACTTGCATTCATTACACACCATTAAATGAAAAATCAACACATGTGAGCACCACTGTCATCTCTAATCCTTGAAGACTTTGCTGAGATTTTAAGTATAATCATGTCTCATTTAGTAAACATTTGGCTAGATAAAATATTTGCCCAACAGTAGTTAACATTTAAGTGGAACTTATCTGGATTAGTGAAGAGGCAGCATAATAATTTATAGATTCTCTGTGCAGGCACCATGAACCATTTTTTTTTCTTTTTCTTTTGGCCTTGGCCCTGTACACTTACATAGTTATTATTTAATTTCCTGTCTTTGGAAGGGCCTATTTGTACTGTAAATGTGCTCTTCGGAAAAACAGATATGTGGGAAGCAGACCAGTGAATCATGATGTGGGAAGTAAATTTACACACCTGGTGCTTTGTCAATAACTAGAATCCTGTTCCCAGCGGTCTTTCTCTCACACCGGCTCCCACATTGGTTTCTGCTCTCTCACAGTGCTTTCTCAGGAGAATGTTGCTTATTTGTAGCCTATGGAGTCCCTCCCAGAGCCTCCATGCTCACTCATCCACCCCACCAATGGCCAACCACTGTCTGTTTTGGTTGCTGACATTATATATCTCAGATAGGAGACAGTAACTGTGGGAAACCAAGCCTTTTAGCCTTCTCCTTTCTCTGTGTGAATGTGGGTTCCGTGCCTTCTTTCTCTGAACTTCATTTTCCCTGTCATCATGAGTCAAGATGCTCTGAGCACTTTTGCTGTATGCTTAGAACTGTGCTCCTAAAGGAATTCCGGAGCGGAAAACCCAACCCAAAACAAAACAGAAAACTTGATGCCATTGGTATCCTAATCCCAAATATCATTGTTTTGTCCTCTCCCTGTTATTGCTCCCATCATCATTTTGCCACTTTAGTAAGAAACCAAGATTAACTTTCTGTTCGCTGCCCTTTACACACCCATGGTTATGACTTTGTGTGTGACTTCAGAAAGGCCTCTTTGTACTGAACTGTCTCTGCATCATAGCAAATGAATGGAAGGCAAACTCAGTGACATTTTGAACACTGTGTTAAAATGAGATGACATGCTCCTGGGGTGAAACAAACAATGCAGGGGCATTTCTATTGTCCACAAGGCCCGCCCACCTCCTCATGTCACAGAGCATCTTGCACCTCTCTTGAGGAGTTGTGACATTTAGGATGTGTAATTAACTAATGTCCGTTTGCTCTTCTAGGTTGTAAACTCCAAGTGGGAGGGCCATGTATGTTTTGCTTTTCATTGTATAATCAGTGTGCAGTAAAATATGAAGGAATGAACACTGCCTGAACCACACAAATGACTAGTTGACTAGAAGCACAAGGTTACAAATAACAAAGACAAAACTAAAATATAGGACATGAAAACTAGAAATTTTGGACCTACCTTGGTTTTCACCTTGGGCAATCTTATCATCCATCGTCTGAACCAGAGTACGCCTGAGGATGAAAGGAATTGCTGTTAATAATTATGCTGGGACAATAGGCAAAACTAAAAAATATTCTGGGAAAATCAGGACATATATCAATATCATGAAGACTTTCCAAGACAGTTATGACCAGATAGGCATTTTAATTGTGAGAGAGCTCTAATAACCATAACTTTCTGCGCTCAGAGTACCAGGGATCAGTTTGAAGTGGTATCCATTTGAAATGCTGTCAAATGACTTAGAAAACACGGCCATGGTAAAAATGAGCAGTGTCTCTTTGTCTATGACATTTAAAGGACAGGGATGGTGGCACTCTGAGAGTGGGGCTGATGGGGCAGAGTTAAAAGCATGAAGAGCAACACAGAAGGAGAGATAGAAGCTTCGGAATGTAATTCTCTAAAATCTCTTTCTTCAAAAGAATCAATCAGTTTGTGCTGGATTTCATTGACTCTAAGAAAACAAAACAAAACATCTCTCAGCTGCTTGGAATACTGGATCGTAAGATACCTCCTGAGTTCCAAGATCCTAAAGTGTGAGTGGGGGAAAAAAGAATCGCCGAAATACAGTAAGAATCCCCAGACAAGACCATCTGTGTAAACCTGCAGCTGTAAAATATGTGACTTCCTAATTTCAGATGAGAAACATTTTGTCTCTGGACATGGTAGAAGATTCATGATTCTCCATAACAGTCAGCAAATATGTGTGGAGCAGAAGACGGCCATTTCCTGAGGGCTTCCTGGGTACCAGGCACTCTGCTAAGCAATAGTGAATCATTTCGCCCAATCTGCCCGCAACCCAGGAGGTTGATGGTGTGATTGTCCCTATTTTACAGCTGATGAAACTCTGGCTCAGAAAATAACTTAGCTAACAAGTAGGTGAGGCATCACTTGATGGAAATGCAGAGGTCTTGGCTACTCTCTGCCCTACAGATGTTGAGCACAGTCAAGGATATAGTTTGTAAGGCTCATGACCACCTGCCTGAGGCTCCCACGGTCTGGCTGTACAGTGACGATGATATGTGTGGAACCAAGAGAAGACAGAACAGCCTAAAACTAGAAACTGAATTGTGCAAGAAAGACCAAAGTATTTCAGAGAAGAAAATGGTTGGGGTAACAAAACAAAGTTTCTTGAGAGCTCAGGGGAGTTAAAAAGGATTTTAATAGCCAAAGCGGGAAGAAGAATCTAGTCCTTGTAAAGGAAGCTAAATGAGTAAAAATGCTTATTTGTCTCTGGGTGGTAACCTTGGATGGGCTGTTTTAATTTTTTGTCTGTATTGACTTTCTTGCCAGCAAAGTCTAGCCTAGTTTATTTTTAAAAAATACAATAGGTCCTGTTTCTGACATGATTTCCAAGTGAGACATGGAGTTTTATTTTGTTTGTGGATTTTCTAAAAATCCACAGACTTGAAATTTTTTCTGTACTTTCCTAAGTTTGTAGAATATTTAGCTAATTTCCCTCAATTTTAGAATTGTTCTTTTCTATGCTTGTTGTGAAAGACATGGATTGCATAATAACCATTAATTTGCAACTGTACAATTAGGCAGTTTTCTTTTTAGTCAAGAAGTCAAATGTTTTTCTATGAGGACAGCTTTAAAAGTCAGCTTTAGTTTCCAAATTATGGCCAGTTTCTAATTCACTGTTCCTCCTTACTTACATTAAGTTGGTGAATGAAGATTTTAAAATATGGACAAAGTGGTTATTTGCATTTGTGTGTTTTTTTAAAAAAAGTCAGGAAAATAAAAGTCATTACAATGCTTCCTATGGGATAATACTATTTAATTCGTTGGTTACCACAGTCTCTTGGATATAGAATAATGGGATGAAAAGTAATTATTACAGTCCAAAGATAAATGTGTATTCACTCCCTTTTCAGGTGTCAAAGAAGACCCAATTATGAATTTAAGCTAATTAGATTAATTGTGTAGGACACTTAAACAGTAAATCATCTTGGATCAAAATATCAGTTGAGTGGATGTGTGATTGTCTCTTCCTCTTTCTTAGAATTACCCCCAC